TGCAGGAAACCTTGAAAATGCTCCTAATTCATACCTTATCTCACACACGAGTAGCCCTCTAATCTCAGCTCTCTAATCTCAGAAGAGGATTTCACTACCTCCTCATTACAGATTCCAATGTCTCCTTTGGAAAGAAAAGATTTATTTAAATCTATGACCTTAGGGCAGCAATTCTAAAATGCATTCCAGACGAAGTCTTTTTTTCCATGAAATGCCTATTAAACAGTCTAGGAAACATTGCTTTAGGGGATATTTCTAAATTACTGTTTCCTAAAATTGGTTTTATATAGAAGGTTAAAAAAATCATAAATGAAATAGGTAGGTAGTAAGCAGTAGATACTCAAAAAATATTTGAATTGCAATTTAATGTAAATGTCATCAGTTTACAGAAACAGAAAATACAATATTTTAATCTCTTTCTCTCTCCACCTTTTCAGTTGTATTCACATAATTAAAATCAAATGTAGAGAACAATGCTGTGTCTCAGTGGAAAACTACGAATTATCTATATCACACCCTTCTAAATTAGTGGATTATAGCCCTCCACTATGTCTTTCAGCTATTTCACAACTCTTTTTTTGAGACAGGCTCTCCCTCTATCACCCACTCTGTCTTGGTTCAATGCAACTTCCACCTCCCAGGCTGAAGCAGTCTTCCCCCAACCTCAGCCTCCAGAGTAGCTGGGACCACGGGAGCAGGCCACCACACCCCGCTAATTTTTTGGTCTCAAACTCCTGGACTCAAAGGATCCTCCAGTCTCAGCCTCCTGAAGTGCTGGGATTATGGGCACGAGCCACTGTGCCCAGCCACAACTCTTTTTTCATTGTGAATAGCTGATGGGCATGTAAATTTTGTCTCTACAGTAGAGGTTCAAAATGTCTTCCCTTCCACTCAAGGGAAAAAAAAAATTTTTGGCTCCATTTAGAATTCATCTCTCCATTTCTTTACTCCATATATTAATAAATTTGTACTGTTTTAATTTTTTGGGTTAACCGTTACTGTACAACATTTGACTGGTTCCCTCTGAGTAAAATACAAGTTTTAACACTTTTTTTTCCACTTACCATTTTTTCTGTAAAATTACCTTTTAACACTAGAGAAATGAAATTTTAAAACTATTCACATTTTTATACACCAGCTTCTTTACATTCTGGCTAAACAATGAGCTGCCAATAAAGAGTCCACCCAAAACACTCAATAATAGGGCACAATGCTTATTTTACTTCTGACCACTTAATTTACCCATCTCATGCAAAGTCAAATCAGGATGGAATCAAATGAAAATGTCATACAGCCACCACGCTTCCATTTTATTTTTAAACTAAAATCAAGTCTTTGCTGAGTGTCTAAAATATGTACAGGCTGACTTCCATCCTATTCCCTTCTCAAAGTAAAGAATAATACTGTGCAACAGACATCGTATTACCATCTTCATTTGCCCAAGAAAGAAACAGACAGAGGTCAGTAATTTGTCCCTGCATCTTGCCACAGGGATGCCCTGCATCTCTGCTTTTGCTTAAGCAAAAAGATAAGTCTCCAGATTCAGCCCTCTGATCTTACTACCAAGGCATACGTAATTACACTGCCAGAAGCCAACTATTCTGCAGTCATATAATCTCAAAAAGTTTAATAAAACGGCAGGTAACACATACAATAAATTTAAAATATGTGCCTATTACATTAACAGTAGCAACTGCTCAGGTTACCTTAACTCTAACTCAAAAACATATTCTTCTTCCATCTGCTTTGGCCTTTTGCCATTATTTGGCTCCCTCAAGAGTAAAGCTATTGCCCTTGTTTTTTCTGAAGTCATTTTTATACAATGTTCTCTACTCCCTTACCTTACTGCCTCCCCTAAGTCCGGGGTACAAGGATGAAATTTAAAAGGCTTGTGAACTCAAATGCGGGGAAAAAAATTGCATCTTAATTTTTGCCACCTTTAACTAAAGTTTAGCACTTCCTTCTATTATTATCTAGTTAATATACATGCTTAAGGTTACTGCAATTGTGATTCTATCACCAATGAAAATCAAGTATTTTTATATCATACTTCGGAAAACTGTTTGTGCCCATCACTACTATCAGAGCTGCTGCTAGATCTTATTTAATGTGCTAGTAATAATAAAGTACATACAGTACTACATCCAAAATTTGTTTTAGAAATATTTTATAACATGGTGTGCGATTTTATAATTGAATTTGTTTGCAACCTCATATCCTGTATTTCATACATCTAAAAATGTTATTTTGAGAAGGCTCCACAAGATCCTGCACGCTCTCCCTCTTTTTTAAGTCTATCCAAATAGAGGAACCAAAACAAAAGCTAACCCAATCATTTGGTCCTGAATAGCTTTAAAATTGCACCAAATAATATATTTTCCTTTAAGGGTCTTCAAGAAGAAAATAAACTTTATTTTGTCCTCTGCAAGTTTCTTCATTCTAAACAGGTCTGACAGTTTCATTATATTTTGCCTGATTACTAAGTATGTGGAAGGGCCAGAAACATTATTCTATGTAATCATAAAATAAGTAATAGTAATTATTATAAATAATTAACAGGGCTACAGTACTAATTATGGGGCAACACTCTTCTTAGTACTTTAGCTATACTGTTTAATCCTTAGGAATACTCTGTGAGGTAAATTCCACATTCCACTATCCCCATTTTAAACAAACTAAGGCAATTATGTAAGTCTCTTGCTTAAGGTCAAGTTAATAGAGCAGAAATTTTAGCCTATCACTTGAATCCAGCATCTGTGCTCTTAATACTCTAATCTGCCTAGGGAAATTTAACAAAACGCAGAAATGAACAGTCTCCAAATAATAAAACGAAGAGAGTAAAAAATGTTCAATTCCAATGTACAGTGAGATTGGGGCACGCAAAAGGGGAAAAAATACAAAAGTAACACTTAACACCCAAGATTTCCTGAAATTTCAAGTCTAAGATCCCACTAACTGACAATCCCGAGAATATCTATCTTGCCTCCGCAAAAAGAAACCTTACCCGTCTTTTCAGTGAAAATCTTAATAATGACACCATTATATGTTTCAGCTAAAATTTATGACATAGAATTTAAAAACTGCGTGTGGAAGATTTAACATTTATTCCTAAAACTAGCCAAACTGAGAAAATTAAGAACTCACACCACTCTTCTAAAACATTTTAAAGTTTTTTAAAAGACATTCACAAGTTGTCCCATATCATGAGAAGGAGAATCACATTTTGGAGTAATATATTTGAATAAACTGTCAAGATATTTCGTTGACCTTACTGGGCAGCAACCTAAAACATGAAACTGAAAACTTGTTTGTGTCAATTCGGCTCTTACTGGCGGGTCAATTACAACTCACTTGGGTTAAATGTTGGTACCAAATGATTACAATATCCGTTTCAGAGCTCAAAAAAAATTTGACAGCAAAACACCTCGCACTTGCCGAAGCCAGGAGCCCACACTTAAAGACATCCGCTTATACCACTGTTGCCTAAAATCTTCCAAGTCTCCCCACTTTAAGTAAAAACGTTCCAAGAAGAAATCGCTCACTCTTATTCCTTCCTCAAAGGTAGTCCCCCCCCCGGCCCCAAATCAAAAATCGATCCTCTCAATTCGGCTCCTCCTGCAGAAAAGGCGACCTTCAGGTGCAACCCGTCTCCGAGGACAGGACGCAGGCGGACACAAAACCCCCTTTAATAAAGTCTCCCAAGCTCTCCGCAAATCGAAGATCTACGCTTTCCATTCTAAAAATTCCAAAAGGGTCTTAGAGTGACAACTCTTACGCTCCTTTAGCAGGGTCCCTAACTCTGCCCCGTCCTTCCAACTTTCTTAGAAAAGTCTCTAACATGCCTTTTAAACTACAGTACTAGAATCTCAGACCCGCACTCTCCCCTTAAATCTCCCCAAAGGCCCAAACACTCTCCCATCACATACAAACTGATTTCAGGGCAGACCTCTCAGACCCACACAGTCACTAGAACCACTCTCCTTCGACTAGTTCCTGCTTGCTCTAGGCCCCACCTAAAAATCCCAGTAGACAATTTCGATTTTCTCCCGCACGCCCGCGTTTTCCTAAGTAGAGTGACACCTCTCCCTCCCCCCACAGCAGCCCGCTAGCCCCCGCGACCACAGTTTTCAAAGAATTTAAAACTTTCACTCCGGAGTCTCGTAACTGCCAGAAGCTGCACTCACATTCTCGTCTCCAGAGAGATCTGGATTGCTGTTCTCGTCACTGCTCAGCTTCTGCTTCTTGGCCGCAGGCATGTCTGTTCCCGCCGGCGCAGTCGACACTTCCCTCTCGGACATATTCCTCCGCCTCCCTCCAGGTTCCTGCCGCCTGGGGCGGGGCCTCCGCCACACCGCCGTCAAGCAAGCCCGGCCCGAGCTTGCCGCAAAGTTGCCGCTGCCGCCGCCACCTCCACCGCCCCCCCCACTGTCGCAAATCGCGCCCAGCCGCCGAGGCGGGCGTGCGTGCGACCCCGCCACACTGCTGAAAAAGGGGCGCGCGCGCGCGCCCTCCCGCGCGGCTTCCTGGCTCCTTCCCTTCCCCAACTCCCGTCTTGCCCTTTTCCCGCCGCCCTCCGGGCAGTCTACACGGTGTATGACCCGTTGGATTAAGAGAGCAGTATTTAGTATGTCTCCCTTCCCCACCACCGCCTCGAGAAGAGGCGAAACTCAAAGGGATGCTCCCTCACCCCCTTCCTCCTTCCAAAGACGTTTCAGCCGCAATTGGCCCGTTCCTTCGATCGCCGACTAGCTGCTAGGGAGCGAAAGTCTGTGGAATGGGCTACACCACCAATCTCCCGGGAAACGGGGGAAGATTCAAGACGTCACCTCTTGCTTTAGGTGTGCATGCCACGTTTCCTTAATCTTGAACTTGGAGGATAACGTTTCCTAACTGTTTACGGAACTATTCAAAATCTGATTCTTCCTTGAAGATAGAAATGCAAAAACGATAGCCTGCTTCCCACTGGCTTCCCCCATCTGAAGAATGGAAAGTACCCGTCAGGGGATGCGCAGGCGCCGTAGCGTACTCTTGCGCTGAGTTCGTGGAGACCCGCCTCCTCCAAGCCCCTCCTCTGTTTGAATTTTCGTTTGCTGAGCCAGGTAGTTTTCTACTCAGTTTCCGAATCCCTGGGTGGATTTCAAAGCGCTACCGACTTATACGGTAGACATTTCATAAATTCTTGTCGGATATTTATTCTGTTGATAATTTGTTGTAATGAATTATCCTTACCAGTTGATACCTATAGTGGCTAAGACTTAAACAGAAATATCCTAAAAATTAAGAGTCTAAACTCCAATGAGTTACAGCCGATGTGCTCTTTTTAGCTACTGAAGGATAGGCCCTGAACTGTGCCAAGGCCTGTAAATCAGCGTTCATCTCCAACTATTTCGAGACTGTGAGACGTAACTGACAATGCTTTGTTTTTGCACATTAGATACAATGAAATTTTAGAAGGCAACACAACTGTTATACTTCACCAAAATAGTTATCTCTGTTACCCTATCTGTTCTCTACCAGGTGCCAGATAACATTGTTGAGCCTTGTGGAATTACTATATGGGCCATTAAACCATAACTGAATGAGCAGCAGCAGGAAAAGGAGAATGACGATGAATAATAAAATACAGCCTCCCCCACCCTTTTTTTTTTTTTTTTTAAGAACATGATTCTGACTACTTACCTTTCTGGGCTTCTGTAAAAACGTCCTCATCTGTAAAAATGAGGAGGTAGGAAGGGGCCTACCATTTCTTGGGTACCTACTTCATGTATATCTTTTCTCTTTTAGACCTCATTACCCACCTAGAGTGCACCATCCATAAAATTCTAGTATACTTGAATTACTTCTGCATGATAACTTTATAACCAGGTCATCAGTTTCCTTATCTGCAGATTCCAAGTTACTCTTTCTTTTGTAGATAAAGAGAGAACTCTTGGTTGAGAATGAGAAAAGGAAGTAAAGCAAAGACAGGTCAGAGTAAGAGGTTTTTGCAGTGAAGACTTTGAAATAAAGAAGCTGAAAAAAATTAACGTTCAGGTCTCAATGACTGCAGTCAATTGTTCAGCACTTGCAACGTCCCAGGCACTACTAAGCACTCCTCAGTTGGTGAGGAAGAGATGAGACTGGAGTAGAGTAAGCACCTGAGAAGGTAAGACGTGCTTTGGTGTGACATTTTCATCAGCAGACAGAAGCATCCTTCCCTTTCTTGAGAACATCTTTTCCAATAAATGGAAAGATGTTTCTGAAATATAGTTGTACAAGTAAAGGCTAATCAACGAAAGCATTTCAAGTTAAAATTATTCTGTGTGTGAGAGATCAGTGGGAGCTGGGAAGTGGGAGTCAATGTCTAGTCATAAAATTAGAAAAGTGCTGAACATTTGGTTAAAGGACACATATGGTAGAAAATGCCTTACAGCATTCATATCTGTAACAAAGCAAAAATAAAGAGACTTATTAAAACTTGGAGGGATTATTTTTTAAATGTTTCTGATGAATCAGGGGTGATAAATGGAAATTAGTTTCTATTACTACATTATTATTACTACATTAAAGAAAAATATTCTGACACTTGTTAAAATAGTAAGGCGCACTTCATTCAGGACTATTTTGATAGATGTCAAGACACTGAGAATGGGAGAGAGATTAGGCTCAACTCCAAATTACAGCAAGGAGTGGGGATTTATAGGCAAGGAGCAGAGTTGGAGGGGTTGGTGGTTGGAAAATTACTAAGAAGAGACATCAAGGGTGGGGAAATTTTTGCTAAACCAACTTAACAGAATTTGTGCTGAAAAAAGGCCAAGGTGATCAGATATCAAGAGTGTGGGTTTCTTTCTAAACTGACACAGAATTCTTGCTACAGCTGAGCCAGGCAAGCTAGACAGGAAGATGGAGAAGAGGGCTCAGAGGAGAGTCTTTGTTACTAATTTAAGATATGTAAAATGTCACAGGTATTCTATGCAGAGTACTACTTTTATGGTATTAATTTAATAACTTTAAAAGTTGAATTACCTATTAGAAATCATAAGTTTTGCTGAGTGTGCTAATGTACACCTGTAGTTCCAGCTACACAAGAGGCTAAGGCAGGAAGATTGCTTGAGCCCAGGATATCAAAGCCAGACTGGGCTGCATAGGGAGACCTACTTCTCTAAAAAAGAAAAAATCATAAGTTTTTCAGCACTGCATTCTCCTACTGAGAAACATGTCAGGAACCATCACAGTCAGAGAGGTCTTACCACCCACATTTTACAAATGAGGAAACTAAGACTTAGGATAAGCAAACACTATGCCCAAAGACACACAGATCTTCAAATGGCAGAACTAGAGATTTTGTTCAATTGATTGGAAAGTCAAAGCACTTATACTTCAAGATGAGTGACCCAAGCAGTTCTAGATTTATGTGACTCTATGTGCAGAGCTTGGTCTTTAGACCACACAGTCGTTTATGAAGTATCAAAGAACCTTAAAAAGCTATCTTACTTGGGACAGAAAGAAGGTAAAACTGGAAAAACCCGGGAAAACAAAGAATCTATAGCATAGTTTATAGTAATGTATGGATTTCAGTCTTTACTTAATTTTGACCAATGTACCATAGTAATATAAGATTTAATAATGAGGGAACCTGGATAAGAGGACTATAGGAACTCTCTATGCTATTTTTGTTCTTTGTAAATATTCTATGAAAGTATTCTAAAATAAAAAACTTACTTTAAAATATCTATGTCATATTTCACTGTTGAGAATTCAGTAAGAAATACCCCTTAGCCTTCAAATAAGTAGCTGATCCATCTTGAAACTTTCCAAGATCATTTAGTTAAATAGAAAAAGAAAATTCACAGCCTTCCTTGGCATTGTCTCCTAGTATCTTGTAAGCTTCATATCAGGAAATGAGTTTCAAAAGCTAAATTAAATCCTTCCCATTTCAACTGGAGTCTATTTCTCATTCATTGAACATTTTTGTCTCTTCTGCTTCATAAATATCAGCTGTTCATCATCATTCATGCAATGTATAGTCATATCCTTACAGATCTGGTTTTCTATGAACAGAATATCATATGGCTTCTTTGAACATTTTCAAATCAATCAGGAAGAATCAACTGAATGCCATTTATATATAAAGCAGCATGGTCATTCCATGGGCAATTGGGAGGAGGTGACAATAAAAAAGAAAATAAGACACAGTCTCTACCTTTAAACAGCCTAACAATCATCCAGCATTAAGAAATAATGGAGGCAGGGTGCGGTGGCTCACGCCTGTAATCCCAGTGCTTTGGGGGGCTGAGGTGGGCAGATCACAAGGTCAGGAGTTCGAGACTAGCCCGGCCAGTATGGTGAGACCCCATCTTTACAAGAAATACAAGAATTAGCTGGGCATGGTGGCAGGTGTCTATAGTACCAGCTGCTTAGGAGGCTGAGGCAGGAGAATCACTTGAACTCGGGAGGTGGAGGTTGCAGTGAGCCAAGATCATGCCACTGCACTCTAGCCTGGGCAACAGAGTGTAACTCAGTCTCAAAAAAAAGAAAAAAGAAAAGAAAAGAAATAACAAATGGGGCCAGGTGCAGTGGCTCATGCCTGTAATCCAAGCACTTTGGGAGGCCGAGGCGGGTGGATCACCTGAGGTCAAGAGTTTGAGACCAGCCTGGCTAACATGGCGAAAACCCTTCTCTACTAAAAATACAAAAATGAGCCTGTCATGGTGGCCAGCACCTGTAATCCCCACTACTCAGGAGGCTGAGGTGGGAGAATTGCTTGAACCAAGGAGGCAGAGGTTGCAGTGAGCTTAGATCATGCCATTGCACTCCAGCCTGGGTGACAAAAGTGAAACTCCGCCTCAAAAAAAAAAAAAAAAACAAACGGACTTAATATGTATTTGCTGAATACCTACTATGTGCCCAACACTGTTCCAGGTGCTGAGGAAACTTAACCATAAGCAAAACCAGACATCATGCTTATTGACATATTGGAGAAACAAGCATTAACCAAAGAAATGTGAAATTACTATGGTAAGTGTTATGAAGGGGAGATACAAGGTAAGGGCTGTTGCTTGCCCGTGTGGTATCTTTGTGCTATTTTTGAAAAGGCACTGCCATAGCAGAAACAGCCCAGAGAAGGTACAGTGTGGCAAGCAAACAATGACTTTGGTAAATTAGAAAAAGATACCCCCTTTTCCAAATTGATACAACCCTGCTCCACATGCAAGGCTTTGTGAGCGGAGCACAAACTTGATTTTAGTTTTAGTCATTACCTCAGCTGGAACCCTTGTTTAGATAAACAAGCTGCATAGGCATACACAGAAGCTAGACAGTCTCCATGGACATGTACAGTAAAGTGAGACGTGGGAGGGTTTCCCTGAGAAGCAGAAGAGTGGAAGTAAAAGAAGAATGGGAGTTAACCAGTCTCCTATTAAGAAGAGACAGAGAAACATTCTAGGGAGTGATAACCGCATGTGCAAAGGTCCTGGGGCAGGAATATGAGGAGGGCACAAATGCTGGTGAAGGACTGAAAAGAGAGGGTGACAGAAGTGTAGTAACAGAGAAAGTTAGAAAAGAAGATAAGGGGCCAGATCATGGAGGACCTTGTAGACCTTCTTAAGATAACTCTGTTAAACTGTATCTCCTGTTGATAAGACTTATACAGAAGGAATTAGAATAGCATTATTTCATTTTAACTTTTTGTTTGTATTTGTTTCACTTATATATAGTGAAATGCACAGATCTTAAGTATATAGTTCCACGTGTTTTGACACAGGCATAAACCCATATAATCCACATACCATCAAGATACAGATGGAGCTTTCCAACACTTCAGATTTTCCCTCATGCCTCTTCCCAGTCAAACCTCTCCTCTCTTTCTCCCCAGGCAGCCACCAGTCTGTTTTGCCTATATTAGCCTATTAGTTTTGCCTATTGTAGAACTTCATATAAATAGAATAATTCAATATGTGCTCTTTTATGTCTGGCTTCTTTTGCTCAGCATAATGTTTTTTAGATTGATAAAATGACACTAGCTTTTAAAGAAAAAGACTGTCTTTAGCTCTTAAACACTATCTTTAGCTTTTAAATATTGTCATTAGCTTTTATGGCCAGGCACAGTGGCTCATGCCTGTAATCCCAGCACCTGGGGAGGCTGAGGTGGATGGATCATTTGAGGTCAGGAGTTTGAGACCAGCCTGGCCAATAGGGTGAAATCCTGTCTGTGTTAAAAATAGAAAAATTAGCCAGGCATGGTAGTGAGTTCCTGAAATCCCAGCTACTCAGGAGGCGGAGGCAGGAGAATCACTTGAACCCAGGAGGTGAAGGTTGCAGTGAGCTGAGATCACACCTGTGCACTCCAGCGTGGGTGACAAATTGAGACTCTGTCTCAAAAAAAAAAAAAAAAAGAAAAAAGAAAATGTTAGGACTTGTCTGGGCAACAAAGCAAGACTCCATCTCAAAAACAAAAACAAAAACTGTCATTAGCTTTTAAAGAAAACTACTGTATTTTAAAGAAAAATACTTGAACCTAAGAGGTGGATGTTGCAGTGAGCCAAAATCGCACCACTGCACTCCAGCCTGGGTAACAAAGTGAGACTCCATCTCAAACAAAAACAAAAGCTGTCATTAGCTTTTAAATACTGTATTTTAAAGAAAAATACTGCCTAGATCAATGGTTCTCAAATTGTAACAGAATTTAGAATCATCTGGATACCTTGTTAAATCACAGTTGCCTGAGCCCCATCTCCAGAGACACTGGATTGGGATCCAGCCTCTCAATGTGCATTTCTAACAAACTCACAGGTGATGCCAGTACTGCTGATTCAAAGACCACGCACGCTTTGAGAACCACCAATCTAGATGACAAAATCCGAAGTGTCTTATAACCAATTTCAAGGTATCTAATAAACACTTTCATAAAGTACCTGCTATGTGCTAGACACTTTCTAGGTGGTAGGATTCAAAAATAACTAAAACATCACGCTTCTCCTTAGCAACTTATAGCCTAGTGAGAGAAGACAGAGGTGAACCAAATGAGTATCACTAGCTGTCTTAGAAAATCTGTTCACTAACTAGCGGAAAAAAATCTTAAAAGAGAGAAAGTGCTTTTGCTTCCAAAGTAGATAAACTGCCAGGCACGGTGGCTCATGCCTGTAATCCCAACAGAGGCAGGAGGATGGGTTGAGCCCATGATTTTGAGACCAGCCTGGGCAACATAAGGAGACCTTGCCTCCATTTAAAAAAAAAAAAAGGTGCAAAAAATTAGCCGGACCTGGTGGCATGCACCTGTAGTCCCAACTACTTGGGAGGCTGAGTTGAGATGATCACCTGAACTTGGGAGATCGAGGCTGCAGTGATCATGCCACTGCACTCTAGTCTGGGTGACAGAGTGAGACGTTGTCTCAGAAAAAAAAAAAAAAAAAAACCCAACCAAATAAAAAAAGCAAATGACAATAAAAACCAAAGTAAAGGAACCACTAAGAGTAAAAGCAAGGCTGTATAATGGATGTCCTAGACACGGGATTCCTCACTGTCAAGCTAACTGCAAAGATGATCAGTAAGACCTACTTTACTGAGTGTTTTCCGTGTATTTGGTACTGTGCAAAATGCTTTCCACACAGCATGCCATTTAAGCCTCTCAATATCACTCCAGAGCTGTTACTATATTATCCACATCTTACAGATGAACTATAATATTATCCACATCTTACAGAGGAACTGTAATGGAAGAGAGAGATGGGGGTGGGGAGAGAGAGAGAGAGAGAGAGAGATGCTATCTTACGATTGCTAATTCAGCTTTTTGGTTTCCTCAGTAATAGAAAGTGCCCTAAAGAGTTTAAGGGGTTAGACAAAGGCCATTTAACAAGTAAGTGGGAGAATCAGAATTCAAACCCAGATCTCACTGACCCGAGTGCTGATCCTTTTAAACACTAATAAATCTCTCTGTAAGAAAGCAACCTTCATAAATAATTTTAATGCTACTGAGTGCTATAATAGAAATATTCAACAGAGAAAACATTACTGTGACAGAACAAGTAGGGGAGTAACTAGTGGAACTAGTGGAAATATGAGAAGCCGTCATGAAGAGGTGAGAATTAGCTTGTAAAGTGAATTTTTGTCAGTGTTACCCCGACAAAAGTCTGAGAGACAAAGACGGTACATTGGATGAATATACTACATTCTGAACACTAGCAAAGAACCCTCTCTTGTGACTAAAGAAAAGTTTGTTAGGATCACTTATAGCTTGAGTGAAATCTCCCTTGTTTACCACATACAGTCACATGCTCCCTGATGACATTTCAGGCGATGACAGACTACCTGCACAGTGGTCCCATAAGATTATAATGGAGTTGAAATTTTCCTGTCGCCTACTGATGTCATAGTAGTAACGGCATGGGAGCGCAATGTAATGCAATGCATAAAGCATTTCTTGTTGTTAAAGAGATGCTTGACTCAGCTACTTGGGAGGCTGTGAGGGGAGGATCACTTGAGGCCTGGAGTTTGAGACCAGTCTGGGCCACCATACCTCATCTCTTTAAAAAATTAGATTAAATTAAAAAATTAGCCAGGCATGGTGCTGTGTACCTGCAATGCCAGCTAGTCAGGAGGATCACTTGAGCTTGGGCACTCAAGGCTTCAGCTTTGGAGACAGGGCAAGACCCTGTCTCTAAGGAAAAAAAAGAGAGAGAGAGAGCTGCTATCTTATGATTGCTAATTTAGCTTTCTGATTTCCTCGATAATAGAAAGTGCCCTAAAGAATGGACGTTTTGGGCCAGATGCAGTGGCTCATGCCTGTAATCCCAGCACTTTGGGAGGGCGAGCCAGGCTGATCACCTGAGGTCAGGAGTTTGAAACCTACCTGGCCAACATGGCGAAACCCCATTTCTACTAAAAATACAAAAATTAGCTGAGCACGGTGGCAGGTGCCTGTAATCCTCACTACTTGGGAGGC